CGATGATGACGAGGAAGAAGTGAGTTACGCAATGCGCAACTCACTTCTTCCTCGTCATCATCGATACCATCAGAGACTGCTTCAGCGCCTTCAAATTTTAAATTGGGAGGGATGGACTAGAGCAAAGATCGTCAACATCAACCAAATATATCAACCTACGTATTTGGAAATAAAAATGGTGAGTGGCCCTGCTTCGGCAAATACTCCAACCTTATTGACCTGCGCCACAACCGCGTCAACAACCTCACCCTTGAAAGGTCGAAAAACGATTGCCCGATACACAATATGATATTGTACAAAACCGCGATTGGGTTGAATAATGCCCGCACCGATATGCTCAATGTTAGTCACCGCGATGATAAATCCATATCTGTTCTCAAACAAATTAAATACGTCAAAGGCAGAAAACATACTTCCCGGAGCAGGTTCCCTCCACATCGGAGAACAACTTAGCTTTCACAGTCTCCGTCAGGTTGGGGCCAAAATACTTCGGATGAAGCAGTATCTCATGTTCAAGCTTGATCTGAAATTGAATAACGACAAGCAGGTGAAATATATTTCAAATAAAAAATATACTTGACCCTCAGATTTAAAAACTTTACTTTGATACGAAAAAAAATGCTTGATTAGTATCGTACAATGAGGCGAACTTGACTGACAGATGCAAAGCTCATCTTGTATAAAACGGACAGGGATTGGGCATAAGTGCAGAAAGGCAGAGAAAGTGATCCTCTGTGGTCAGCACACACTACACAGTTTAATTGTGCATACCTATCTTTTTAGCATTTTGACATCATCAACATCATCAAGGACACCTGTGCTATCGGTTTGCAGACATGTTCGACATTGTCCCCAGCAAATCGGTTACAGAAGACGGAAGACACCAGCTCTTCTACATCGCTCTGTGAGTTTCTTCACGCCTTGTTTCAACATCATTTATTGACCTTCACACAGAAAAGCTAATCACATTAGGGAACAATCGCTTGGTCGATGGGTGGAGTATTTCAGCGAGCAGCCCAGTTGGTCTGGCTCTAACCGGACTATCTAGTCTGTTGGGGCTGAGCTTCCGCAGGCAGTGCCATGTGAACCTCCCACAGCAGCAGAAGTACGATCTTGTATCCAAGCCCTGAGGAAAAGAAAATCAGCAGGACCTGACGGGTTTCCTGTTCCAGTAATGGTCAAGTCACTGCACCATGTAGCAGAAGTAGCCTAATTGTTACAGCATACACCCGACTCCTCACAGATAAACGAATGTCGTGATGGCGCCACAGATATTCTTAATTGGCAAATGCTAAACGAGCCCTCTGTATGCATGCCGACACTTCATCTGTGACGCGTCCCCAGCTGCTTAGATAGCAAAATTTATCTACTACCTCTATTACTTCCCAGTTGGGGTGATGTTGGGGGCTGGACCAGCTCGATCTTGTAGCAACCTTTTATACTTTGAAGGTGAAAAACGCATAACGAACATCGCTACGCTAGCACTCAAACTATCCAGAAAAGCTTGCAACTTACCTCAGTCTTCACTTAGTAGCACAATATCGTTTGCGTACTACAGATCAGACAGTCTGCAATCAGGGAGCAACTCGATGCCGCTTTCCTCGCACGAGGACAGGGCTGTTACCATAATCAAATCTATAACAAAGTTAAATAAAAACGGAGTGAGCAACCTTGACGAGCACACTTTCTGCGGTGAACTCGGGCGAATAAGCGCCGTAAGCTCGGACTCTGCTTTGGCTGTTAGGATAAGGAGATAGCAAAATTGAAATTACTTCTTGGGAACACCCTTCAGAGTGAGGTAACACCAGAGTTTAGAGCGGTCGATTGAGTAAGACCACTTTCAGAATGGGAGACAACACAGATATGATATATACGAAAAGAATGTCGGTGCTCCAGAGTTTGCAGAGTGAAGATGTAGTTCATACAACATCGACCAGGTCTAAAACCAGCCTGGTTCTCACACGTACATCGTTCTCGTGCGGCAGACAATTGGCGGAGTATCATGCCAGCGAGGAGTTTAGAGGCAACGTTGATTAAACTTATTCCTCTGTGGTTTTCGCAAGATGATTTGACACCTTCCTTGTAACTCACACCATTCCGTTGAAACCTCTTCCCTCGCCCTCACTAAGCCCAGGAGTTTTGGTAACTCCAAAAATCAAGACTAAACCTCCATCCTTAAAAACCGATGGGGACAGCCCGTAGGGGCCGGAAGCCTGATAACTTTTGATATAATTTATTTCTCGGGTAACCTCCATTTCAGATGGAGGGCTAATATAATCGCCCTGTGCATTTCTGCATACCTCATGTCTACGTCCTCTGCTGACCTCTAGTGGGTTTTCTACTACTCGGGGATTTCCCAACCTTTGTTTAACTCTTTATCTTCCGTACCCAACATCTCCTTTTACCCCTTCTTCCAACCCGTAACATTCCCTCAGACTTGTTCGTCTCTCACCAAAGTTCGTCGCCAAGTAGCCCGGTAAGTAGTTTACCACAAAATAGATTGCATATTCTGAAGCCTCTTCAAACTGAATTTGGGGGCCTTCAGCGTGAGGACTCTGATGCAGGTAGGTCAACAAGCGTGTCTGGTGCGTACAATGGACCTTTTGGGGATTGATTTTTGCTGCGTGCCGGAGATTCGCATCCAGGATCCTAGTACTTCAGCCACTTAAGTGCACCGGGGTTGTCTTCGAGGTTCATCCTCCGCACGTCAGGTGATGACAAAGCCCGTTCAGTAGGCCCGCGTGGTGTGGACATTGTACTCAACAATGCAGCCAAAGCCGCACTACTCAAGTCAACTCAAGCCAAGTAAAGCTTTATGCACCCGATAGGATGAATTTTCAACATTTTCGACATGTTACAGTAGGCAAAAGGTTAAGTATTGGAAAAAGAAGAAATATACATTTACTAAATGACAAACAAACGGATTTAGGTAAAATCCTAATGTGAGAGATGATTGTTCAAGTCAGCAATATTTGCTCGGTTGATCAAGATGCGAGCGAAATAAAGGATCATGTTTTTGTTTGGTGGTGCGTGCATAAAGAATCCTAAATTGGGAACGGGTACTCGGATGACAGACCGATTTATTGAGATGGGAGTGCAGGCAGTGTTCTTTGTTGGACAGGATATGGCTGATAAATCGATCGCGTGAGTCAAAATGCTTGCACACAATAAAGTCAATCAAAACGGTCTTTGAAATGCCGCTGCAAAGAGAAAGAAGTTTAGGAGATCTGGAAAAGAGAATTAAGTCTTTCTCCTTCAGACCAGGAAAATATACGGGGGAACAGTACAACCAATGTGGAAGA